TTGTTTTGTGTGCTTTTTGTGATGCTTGGAGCTGGTTCTGAATGTTGCCAATTTTATGATGTGAAAATGTATATGGTTTTATGGGATTTTCTAATTTTGTGTAGTACTTCAATAAAGGAAAAGAGAGACCAGGAACTGTTTGAACGATATCATAATATGCCAGGGTGGAACATCAAACTAATGGGTTTTTATTTTTCATAAGTTTCATGAGTCAACTCAGAACACTAAACTCAATCAACATTTTGTTGAATTTTTATTTATTTTTTATTTGCAATCATCATCTTGTTAGTGTCATAGTGAGCACTTTCCACATCAAGCAGTTTCTCTGCATTGTCCTATCAACCATTACATTTGATCTCAACCAGCACATTTGATATCAACCATTGCATTTGATCTCAACCAGCACATTTGTTATCAACCATTATATTTGATCTCAACCAGCACATTTGATATCAATCATTACATTTGATCTCAACCAGCACATTTTAATCAGTTTGACTTCTTGCAATTTGCAGCCCCAAATTACGTATATTGATGGAAATATATTTTCTTCATAAGCATTCAACATTCGGTATACTGTATTTATAGTTCTAGATAGATCATACACATGTTGATGTTGAACCTGAAGACCTAAGATTATCATGTTATCAAACTGTAAGTTATATTACCATTATATCCCTTACAGATTTCTTACAGATAATCTACATGTACACTGTACATGGGTTTTTCTGTTCATCTTGCTGTAATACACCTGTTCTGTTTTTGTGTTCTTTTTTAGCTTAGTGCTTTAGTGAATGTTGTTTAGAGTTTAATTTAGTGTATGTTTTGATTCTCTGCATTTCAAGGTAGTTTCATAATAGGTGATTGGAGGTATTCTTGAGAAAGGTCTAAGGCCAGAATCATAAAGATAAGTGAGGTTCACAGTTCTTATTTATCCCCAACAAAGCATTGAATATGTGGGTCAAATTATTTATTTCTGTTTACTTTATACTCTGAAAATATTCATGATTTTTATTCTCTAATTTTCATTCATATGGAATTAATGGTATTGCTGACTTTTCTTTATAATCTCATCTAATTACTTTCTTTTTGCCGTTCATTTCTCTTTGGGTTGAAAATCTCCTATATCTTGTTAATAAAAACCAGCCGTGTTTCCAGATTATAACTGTGTACCTGATTAGTATCAACATATCTTTGATTCAGTGCATAAGGTAATATTGAGTGCATTTACTCGGCCATGTTTATATGCCATGTTTGCTCTGAGGCTGCACAATTCTCAGAAATTACATCGCCAGTTTTGTCTGTAGTCGCAAGAGTCTATTGTTATTATACAAAACTGATTGATACTTACTGTAAGATATTAAGTTGAGGCACTATTGTGTAACTGAGAACACATTATTACATAAGCATTAAAAACACTATATCGTTTACTTTTTTATCGTTTACCATCAACGCCATAGCTACAGGTAAGATTATTTTATATAGCTTATTTTGTATGCTGAACGTGGATTAGAAAACTTTTTAGCTGATAAGTATTCCGAATATTTTGAGTTATAAAAATTGTAATGATTTGAACAAAAAAGGAAGGAATCATTTATTAGATGTATAGAAAAATAAATCAAAAGTTTAAGAAAGAGAAGACTCATTAACACCCTTTGATACCTGATTTTCATGTTGCTCAGCCATCGGATACGAAAACCGCAAGTGAAGTGAGTGGTTGAACCGTTTCTATGATTTATTCTTGTTTAACGGTATTTCTATTCCTGTAGCACTCAATGCAACTCATTATGGATAATTAGTTAATCAAACATCCATTTGGAAAATCCACATTATGGGTCTCTTGATTATTTTATACCATAAACTGGCTTGGTTTATATTGCTTGATTTTTCTGATTATTCATAGAAAACTCAAAAATACAAAGTTTAATGATTATTTTATTAGTGTAAATAGGCAAGGATTAGCTAACAATCCAAAATTGTCACAAACTCACCTATGACTTATACCTTAGTTACCCATGAATATTATTGAAAAATGATTGAAACTTTTTGCTGACTACGTTGACCTTCATGCGTGTAGGACATACAAAGGAGAGGGAGGGGGTTACATTAAGGCTATCTATAAAAACTGCATATGGATTTTACATGCTTAACATTGAAGCAGTTATAATGGTATTACAGTATAACATTTGTGAAGCTGCACTTAGCTTATCAGATTAACTTATTGATTCCAGTGGTACAACATTTATTGTCCTTTAATCTAGTAATTAATCTTGAAATAATTTTCCCTTTGTATGCACTAAGTAAGGAAATGAAGCAGAAATGAATATTTATGAAGAGATTTTATTATTATGTAATTTTGCGTTAATAAATATACTTCAGATTTCATGAAATGAATTTTGTATATTCAGCAATAAATTGTTACAAGATTTAGCAAAAATGTCGGGTGTAGAGTTCTCATAGCATTGCGTGACAGATTAATAAGACCTTGTCATTTTTGAATTGTTTGAGCAATAAAGAATTTCTACTAATGATATAAATGAATCAATTATTTCCTGATTAGAACTTGCGAAAGTTGCGTGTAATGATCCATTTTTCCTTGGACTGTGTAAAAATCTGTTACAGAAGTTCAAAAGATAGGTGTACGATAATGAATTGAAAATAAATGACCAAAAAACAAACACATTTGTTTCGAGTAAACGATTTAGGATAATTAGCACCTATTAAATTGCCACTACAAAGAAAGTAATCCATTTCTATCACTGTGTCCAACAGAAACACTGTTTCTGATCATTTTTCTTCATTTGTCTTTCCTTGTTCCGAGAAAATTTAGAATTCTGCATGCACTGATTGCTGATGGACCATTTTCAGAATTCTCTCTGGTTAAAAGGATTACTTGTTTTTGCTTAAAGGCAGAATCAGATCTCTGGGGGTGACAAAATTAGAAGCAACATGTACATCTGACCTACCAATCTATTCCTTACAATGTCAAATACAATATCTCCCAAAAGATTCACAATATGTTATAAATTGGTGAAGTTATTAATGATTCAAAGTGCAAAAATGAGTGAAAATGTTTAAATTCTCCCAAATAATAAGAGTGGTAACCATTCTTATAGAAAGATAATATATTATTGTAAAAATCTTTAGTTTTCCTGAAATAAAGTGAGCACTTTGGGGATTTTTAGAAAATAGACATGAAAATGAATGACATAAGCCAGGAATATTCTAAAATTGAAACAATTTTTTGTAAGGCTGCTCGCTAGATCTGATTCTCTCTTTAGCTTCTTGATGACTCCTTTCTCATTTTTATTGAATCTTATATTCTGGGATCCATTTTGTGTTAACATAGTATAAATAAATAATGATTCATGAGATGAAGTTGTCTGCATGATGAAATCATAAAGTAAAATGCATGTAAGGAATCTTAATTTACGTTAAGCTATTTGTGAAAGATAGACTCCTTGTGTTTCCTGTTTTTCTGTTTTATTCATCATGTTTGAGGAGATTAGAGATGTAAATGATGTTCGATTATCTTTAATCCCATTGGCCTCAGATATATTTTATCTCACTCTGTGTAATAGCGTAGAATACAAATCTAGGTGTGATCCCATACAATCAGAACGTGAGCTACTGTGAAACTAGGGAAATCATTCTTCAGTGTTAGTTAATCCTAAATTATTTCATGCCCAGGATAATTCCTCGACACTCTTCATATGGGAATAGTAAAGTAATTACCTGTTATTTGTTTGAAATTGAAATTCCATTGGAGAATAACGCTGTAATAAATCCCTCCCTTTGAAATATCCAAAGGATTTTACCAAATAACAAGAAAAGATGAAAGAGGTAAACAGCTGAAAAATTTCATCTCATGAAAAGAAAAGGCAACAAAATAATGTTTTCAGAATCATCAAAAGAAACATTTTATTTGTTAAGACTTGCCATTACAATGAGTAAAAGCAGAAGGAAAATAGATTTTTAGTTAGTAACTTTGTCATCGATTGATCCTTTGTACCAAAAAAACATTACGACTTTCATTCTTAATATTAGTTTCACTAATTTATTTACAATTTTGATTGCCTGTAACAGCCAGAAGAAAAAAGGCAGACTTCAAAGTTGCAAAATTTTGCTGAAAATTCTGAAATTTAAGAATTTAATAAAATATAAGATTTTTTCATTTCATCTTAATTTGATTTTAACTGAAGGTTATATATTTTGACTCAAATTTTTTGCTTTTCAAGAAACTGTAGATCAAAGCTTAAAGTAACGTAAAAGCAAATGTTGACAGATTTTTAGAAAATTAAAACACATGTGTTCAATTTTATGTTTATAACACTGGGTTTTCTAATATAACATAATACAAGGAAGCAACTGTAAGCTATCTTATCAAGGTACGTAGAAGGTTGTTCGTTGATAACCACATAGTTTATTGGAGTAAATCAGCCGTGCCTAATGATGCCTCTTCCTGAAGGTGAAGATTCGTCTGTCGTCATTGGAGAACTGTAACAGTTGTAGACATTGCCGCCTGTAACTTGATGCAATTAGTGTGTGGCATAGAACACGACAATTGGATTATGGTACCCCTTGATAGGCATTTGTTGCGATTCGCTAAATTGGTTGCCTGTTAATAGGAGCTGTTGATCGAACTTCACATTTCCGAACATTCTTCAACTATTTTTGTTACATAATCAGGAGGAGAAGGATGTCTTAAAGCAAAAGGATGATGATTCAATCATTTTAGAAGGATGTCAAAGGTGTGCCTATGGATAAACATGTGTTTCCTCATGCAATCTTTAACTATTTTGTAGGAATGGACACAACCATGATGACAATGAAGTATAAAGAAAGGAAAAATTCAAAAATGATTAAAACAGAAAAATGAATTCAATTTTATACTTGACACTGCAATTATTTTTCATATATATTTACATATTAAAACCAATTTAAAATACATAAAAAAGATGAACTCTTTTTGATGATTTTTTATTTTTGGTGTGTTACAGGAAATCAAGCATGGATGGCCAGTTGTACTGTGAAGACCATATGCCAAACTCTAACATGCATCACACCACTTCAAGAACTACGGAACATGTCAATTCAGCTAAGGTAGGTCTGAGAGATAAGTACCATTTCTTGAGCCCAAAAAAGGACACTGACAATAATAAAGCTAATGCACAATGCAAATGTTTAGTGCATGCCAAATAATTTTTGTACCTTATAAGGTAAGTTTAGTGAATACGAATAAGTTCTAATTGCAGAAGGATTTTTAGTTTGTTATAACTGTTCAAACTGGTAAAAATACACATTTCTTACATTTTCATATTATATTTTGATCGAGGTAAGAATTTCAAGTATAGCTATTACTCTTTTTATCAAAATAATATTAAATTCTTGTAATACATGTTAATTTCAAATCTTATTTTCAATAGATTTTTGTCAATGTCAAGAAGTTCAAATCGTTTCATCTATAAAAAGATATTGTAGATCATTTGTAAACATGGAACACCTTGTATTAGACATGCAAATTACTCCGTAAATCATCATTGCAGAAGTATTTATGGAACTCTTCCCAAAGTTTAATTGGAACTATTTATCTCATGTTTGCTTCATTAGGCCATAAAGAAGCTAGAATAAGGGGAAGGATGCAATTTTGTTTGACAAATTACAAATTCATACATTGTTGAAAAACCTCAATCATGCCGTTGTAAATCACAAAGGAAAAATTAGACGGTACTAGAATAGTTAATACATCTCATAAAGAGACATTCTCAATATCAAATGGGAAATTTTTCTGGTTTAATAATAGCGAGGAACATGTATCCTTTACTTTTTCAGGAATGATCTATGTACGATTATTTGTTGTTTCTAGCTGATTAATGTATTGATAATGTGTGGCAATTTTTTCCTAATTTTTTTCTCATTAGTTATTGGTTAATATATGGCTTACATGAAAGGTAAGCTTTTACAAGAATTAGGTAAATTCATATCCTATGTAAATTAAGAATCCCCGATGAATAGCGAACGCATATATTCTATTTATCTGCACATTGATGACATTTGGGTGACATTCATTTGCGAACTCTTATTTAACTATCTTCATTAGGAAAATTCATGGGTTTAAAAATAGGTTACTTGCGTCACTGTTTCTGATGCTCTTAAATGGGAGTCACACTTTCTGACAATCTTCTTACCAATGAAAAGGAGTATTTTGTGATTGGATATCATTTTGACTTGCGAGTGTGAGTTTGACTTAAGGAGTTAGCCTTTAATTTTAGATGCAATGATACTCAATGTTTAAATCAAATCGCATGCAATAACATCAGCGTAAACATCGTGAAATCACATCATACGCTGACATTTTGCTCGTCAGTTTCTCTTTGCTGTTTTATATTTGGTCTTTAAATGGAGCAGCTTCTGGTACTACTGTTAATCATCATTTATTGCTCTCTGCCAAGTAAGAATATTTCTTGTGTCAGTTCCTTGTCTCATTTCTATCACACATACTTGAGCAGTCTAATCTTTCTGAATCCCATGGTCATGCATGCCCAACGACTCAGTGCTTTTTCTGTTATTTATGTCTTAGTACATTTTGTATCTACTTTGCAGTAATCTAATATTAGGCCCTTTTAGAAATAGGGACTGGGGTCAAAACATCAATCTCTTAATAAATTTTTGTTTTAGTTTCATTTTGTGACGCCATATTTTTATCTATTTCACCCTTGGCTGCTATTTTGTAATTAGTTTGCTGGGTGAGTGGACTTATGCAAGCAGATGGGCATAGTGATTATTATGGTTTTATTTTCATTTGTATTTTTGATATATTTGGCTCATGTGGTTTACCTGTCAAATCACCCAATCATAGATTGTATGCGTGAGTTTCTGCTATTACAGCAAAAAAGGTTCCTATTTCTGGCTATTTTTTGCATGTTGGGGTTCCTGACACCTGAGTCCTGTGAGAGTTAACAAAAGATGCTTCAGGGAGTGTCCATATTACACAGAAAATATGATATTATTGTTAGGCCTCTATTCACAAACAGAGCTATTGCCTATCTACCATAAATACTTAATAATTATACTCAGTTTTCATTTGATTTAAGATTCTCCCCAAATTGAGAGATCTATGACTGTGACAGTGCCCATGGTCTTGGCAAAGATCACGTGTTCTTATTTAATGAATGAAGAAACCTCACTGGTATATCATACATTATGACATGAAATAAGAATTGATGAACATTATCCTTAATTGCTTTGAACAATCAAAATTAATTTACATCACCAGATAAAACAAGACATACGAGAAATATCATTACAGGATTTCATTACGTGATATTGTTCACTAAAAGAGGTTTATTTCATTTTTCCAAGGTGTCTTTGAAATCGAGCAATGAACTCTTTATGTAATGGATTAATCCTTTCATTGTTCAATACTCTAATCTTGCTAGAAAATCAACATCTGGAGTAAGTTACTATAATACAATTATTGAGAACCACCTTTCTCATAGTCATACAATACTATATTGTGTTTTATTCAAAAGAATCGTTAGACCGTATTTTTGAAAATATATGAGTCTTTTAAAGTATTTCAAAATAAGATAATATACAATATGCGTTGCAATTGATGTTGAGAAATATCAGTGTCAAAGAGTTTTAGATTATACTTTTTTGGTTTTTGGGTACCCTAATTTTTCATAAAGTTTGACTACTTTGGTAATGTTCCTTAGAGAATGATTTCATGATTCCATCTCTGTTGACCATATTGAATTCTTCTAGTGTATTATATGGGTTATATACTTCTCCATAATATATTTTCAATTTGACATTCTTTAGCGATTTGACCTTTTCTGCATCTTGGCCTACTTTAAAAATCACCACCAAAATAATTTGGATTGAAAGTCGTACATTTTTCACTTATCTTTCTTTTCCATGATTTGAGATAAGGCTCTGTTGGGAATAAGTTCACCTGGGAGGAAATAATCATCTAACATATATTATCTGTTTAGATAATCACCTGTTATTTATCATGCTAACATTGGAATGCCCGATTACACTGGATGTTGAGGAGTACAGCAAATGCAGTAAGCACATCAGGCAACATTTGAAAACCCAAATATGATGTATTTGTTTTATTGACAATTGTGTTGAATCTGGGCACATTGAATAGATTATTTGGACAATAAACCAAATGAGCGGTTGTCAGCTAAATCAACAAAATCAGACATTCAAAAAAGTTAAAAATATATTACCTTGATAATTCAAAATATTCATTCATTTGTTAGCATTTCAGTCAATTTTACAGCAGGCCATGAAAGTCAAATGTAAGACATTTAAAATGCAAACATATATCTGGAAATTACAAAATTGAAATTTTAAATTACAAAATTGAAATAGTCTTTTTACATTTTCCACAGCTTGTAAATTCATTAAAATAGCAGCATGCAAATTGGGAAATCCATTGGATTTCAGAAATAGATGTTGCTTTTGATAATAGTATCCAACAGCTTCTGTTGTATTTAAAAACATTGAAATTGATTTCATGTCGATTTCCATAAAAATAACAGTAATTGAAGGATGTGTTGGTTTGCTTTATGTTCTTATCGTAAAGTCATAGACAAATCATTCAATAGTTTCTTCAGCATTACGGAAAGCGTTTATTAATTACATACAAAGTAAAAAAAAACGGTAAGACATTTTCGAAGAATAATATGTAACATATCCATAAGACTATTTTCATATAAACGAGTGAAAACCTATATTTAACCATGTTTTCAACTTGTGCTTTTTTAATCTATTGGAACATACAATGTATGTAATGTGAATAAACATATAAAATAAACTAAATAGCAAAGTGGCATTTTATCTTGGATTTAAATGTACACAATTGGTAAGTTTGTAATTTTGTCATCCTGATTATTCAGAATTTTATTTATTTGTAGAGGTTTAAATGAAATTTCCTGCTGACGAGCAACCAACATTTATTTCATAAAATCACACGAAAACTAGAGATCATTAAGGTGACGGTCATCTTGGCATTAAAAGTGTAAATCATCTGCAAAAGGTAGAGGGTAGTGTAGCTAACTGATGAGAAACCAGGGTAAATTTTCACTAAAACATGAAGTAATAATCTATAAGACATTGTCAGAAGTGAAGTGATAGAATCATTTGACAATTCACTTTCATGTTTTATACCAATTTTATATCAATTTGAATTATGAATCACATCTGGGATCAAGCGCTGACACTTTTATTAGATGTATTTAATAAACTTTGAAGAGAATTGGCAGCAAAATTGAACGCTCGTATGTCACATTGACATTCAATGGTGATTGATGATTCTATCGAAATATTATTAAAGATATTTTTGCATTTTTATATATTTTTACATATTCCATGCCCAGAAATGTATTTTATACCAATATACTTTGTTACTATGGTGACCTATGTGAAATAATAAATTGTCAGGGGATTTGAAAAGCCCAGAAATGTGTTACATTAGATTGAATACAATTGAAGCTTCGGCAAATCTCTCCAATTTAAGTTAAAACACAATTTATCAATTGGACATTGGACACTATTCTCTAAAAGTTATATGGCTTAACATTTTATGCAGAGAAATATGAGATATTTTTCTGGATTCCATCCCTTATTTTTTAGAAGTGAGGCCAGAACTTTAGCCTACAACTGTCTCGAAGGAAAAGTCTCTCTGCCTGTCATCAACCCCCTCCCCCTTTCTAACATTTTGTTAATCAATAAAAAATGCATATTAAAATATTTTGAGATTTTGCAATGCATTTTGGGAAAATAAATGATGGTTATGGATATAAAAAACTCATATCGAAATATTTTGAGATTTTTATTTGCAACCCATTTTCCATGTGAGAATAAGAAAATAATGACAGTAATAAATATATGGGATGAATTGATTATATGCAAAACTGAGTTGATCAACTTGGAAAGTGTGATTTTGATGACAGTTCAATTAATTTGTTTTCACGGTTGCACTGGTTATAGTTCATCATCCTTTTAATTGAAAACACTTAATGACCTTAGAATCTAGCTTAAAGATCTGATATTGTTATTAATTATCATACCACTGAACTTGTAGTTTGAGGCTCACTGCAGCAAGTAGTCTTGCATGAAATCCTGCACCTGATGCAAGACCATGTTATTTATCTTACATGTCAGTGTATGTCCATGGGGAAGAGAAATGGAATGGAGGTATGGAGGGAGGGAGATGAAGAGAGAGGGGAAATTGAAAGGGACGGAGAGAGAGGGAGGAAGGAAGGGGAGAGAGAGGGAAAGAGACAGGGATGAAGAAAGACAGAGGGGTAAGGGAAGAGGGGGAAGAGAAAGGGACGGGGAGAGAGAGGGGCAAAGAGCAAGCGATGGGGAGAGGGGGAAGGAAGATAGAGAAACTGAGAGAAATTAGATAGATTAAAAGGGAGGGAGAGATAGAGGGAAAAGGAGGGGAGAGAGAGCTGTTCATTTATATAATTTGTTTTCCAATTTATTCAAACGTACCAGGCATCAAGGTAATCTTGCAAGTATCTTTCATTTCTATGTTATAATAATTAGATATGTAAGACCTTGCTATAAAAAATTATATTTACATAAGCCTTTAACAGAAACATAAATATTCCTCAGTCAAACAGCAAATTAATATACCACTCCATGAATTATCATATGTGCCAATCAAGATAGGTTTCATTGTAAGTATCATTGAGCAAAGTTTGTGTGGAAGGCAACAGCTTGGTTAAATCCAGTCTACCATAAAATGTATGTTTTCATAAAATGTTTTTGCAAAAATTTGCAAATATCATCTCTCCTTCAGTCATTGTCAATGATCTTATAAAACATTTAATGTTTATAAACAGGATTGTTAAGATTTTTATGTGATTTGAATTTCATTGTTTTTTTCAATATATCATTAAGGTCATAGCTCTTCTCTGACATTTAGCGGATGAGTGCTTGAATAGTGATTTTGCATCAGCAACAGTTTTTTTACAATCAATATATATTCATTTTTATTTCAACTGTGGATCTGCTGTGTTAACACAACATTATTGGTTTTATACAAGTAAACAACTGAGACAGACATATTAATCTCTGCTATCATGACAATCGGAATTCTAACCACAAACTGACGCAAGACTACACATATCGAAGTGGATCTGATTGAAAAAGTAAAATAATTGATGTGTGCAGTGACAGTTTTATCTAAATGAGTTGTGAATCACAGCAAGATTTGCTGGGTTTAAAACTAACTGCTCAATTTCTTGCTGTTCCAGTCTTGACGAAAAATTTTAAGGTAGGCAAAAATGTTTCAGGAGGATTCCAATTGAAGAATTTGTTTCAAAATAAAAGTTGAAATAAGTAGTTTTGGGGCCGAATTATTGGGGTGTGTTGAATAGGGTATTATTTATAATATCTCATTGATGGCGCAAAGTTGATGGTGAACAATATAAGGTATTCTAATTTATATCATTGTGGTATATTTTAGCCTTTAGGACAAGAAATGGGCAGTGAGCCCCCTTACACAATCAAATACCTTAATGAGTTTTCTGATGTATTTTCAGACACAAGATTTATTTGAGATGTTGGAAAAGCTCCAAGGCAAGAGAATTGATGACCAGCGTTGTGATATGCCTTCACTCAATGTAAGTCACAACACATGCTTTTATCACAATAGGTAGTCTTGCATCAAGCCCCTGTGTCACCTTGTTTTGCCTTGTTTGGAATATACAATGGAGGTAGGATGATTAGAGACTTGATGCTAGACTCCATAACCTTGATTCTTGTATACATGCAGCCCGTACTCAAGAAAAGGGATACCTGAGTTCATTGAAAAATGAGAGGACCACGTGGGCATGTTCCCCAAAAATATCATTAATTACAATTCTGAATTTCATTTGTTTTTTAAAAGTAACAATGGGAATCTTGTAAAAGAATATTCAATATCCAAAATGCGAATTCGCAATACTTTTGGGAAATGGCTTCCAGAATAAGTTGCAGTTTGCATCGGAGGGACTAGTTTCTGATGGAGTGTTGTATTGGAATGTATTGTTCATTGCTAATGAAGTCATATTGTTTGTGGTTAGCCACTTCCTCTAATATGTTTATCTTCCTGCAAACCAGCAACGGACAGAAGTGTTCTAACCTGAATGTTGTCTCCAGTGGGTGGTGGAAAATGCTCATTTTCACTTAATGATTTTCTTCATTTTCAATAAGGACATACCATTTTAAAGTTGACACTAGATAATTTTCAAGTTTTTTGAGTTTTCCTAATTTCAATTGGTTGCAGTGTTAACTTAAACAAAAACTGGGAGATTGCTGAATATGAGAGTGTCTTGGAAGTCTGCAACTAGCAAAATGCAGAAGACCTTCTCATTGACGAGTAAACTCAAAGTTTTGAGATGGTAAATGATGAGGGTCTTGTAGATCAGGAATAAGATATCAATATGCTCCATCTGGGACTTGAGACCTTGTAGATAATATCTGTAACACAGCAAATGAGAGAGTCAAATGTTTCAATGCAAAATATAATGCAGCAATGTGAAAATTGCCATGAGGAATACTGGTGTTATTGGTTTGATTATAATTAGAAAATGGGAGTTTTCTTATTCTAGGCAGATATGATGTGGTCACATTGTTATCCCCTTGGCTTAGATCATGAATGTATCACATTATATTTATATAAGTTACTTTTCTCTATTTCTATATTACCTAGATATTTTATAATGAAAATTATACTCTTGTGATCTAATTTGTAGAAATGAACACCCTGAAAGAGCCCTCTTTAATACTAAATAACCCACTTTAACCAATTAACCCAGCTCACATATTACACATCTGATCCTCATGTTATTGTTGGTTTAGTATTTCTTGGTATTGGTCATTAATAGTAATTGCTCCAATAATATAACAATAAAAGTAAGCCATACACATGTGTATAAAAAGGTAATTGTAATATGTTCACCTCAGAAGGTCATCTAAGTTAGGTGACCGATTAATTCCAACCATTCTGTTGTTTTCACGCTCATGTAAATATCTGCAATAAATCTGTTGTTTCATTTTGGTTACTGCTTTTCAAATGGATCCGCTTTTCAAATGGATCTGCTTCATCAGTTTATCTACATTAGCAAGACTTTTGCCACCATTAGGATGACAATAATGAAAATAAAGTCAGCTGAAATGTTTTTTCATCAGTAAAAGCCATTACATTGATAAGACATAGAAATAAACCGCTGTTAGGAAATAAAGGATGGATGTCCCTCATACAAGACTTACGCGTTAATATCATTTCTGAATAAGCAACATTTCAAGAGGACTCAATCAAATGATGTTCTTGTAAACCACGATTTTGTGGACATTTTTTATCTTTTGTTCATTTGAGATTAGAACTTGACTCTCCATGGCTTGCAGTTCTTGTGTGTTTTGGAAAGATCGAACACTGTTGCATATTTAAGATAAGATGAGACGGACCTACATGACTTGCATACAAACTAGCTCCATTATACAAAGTGATTCTTTTATACAAATCTGTCTTGTTTCAAAAATGTTCCACCAATCTCCTCCTATACAGTAATACATTTATCTTCATTTATTACGCTGAAAGCTTCTTAGAAAATCCCCTTGACTTGATCTTGATTTGAATTTTATAGGGTTTGCCTTGATGGATGATGGTAATAGGGATAGGAGATAATGGCTGATACATATCAATGGAAAATTAGACATTCTAAAACTGTCCACTTGGACAGACTCATTAGTTGAAAGAAAGGAATGAAACGCATACAAAATCTCATTTCAGAAAATTGTTCATGAACACATGCATGTACAATGTCTCATATTTGATCTTTTATATTTTGAAATCTTTACTATTCACATAGTTCCAGAACCTGATTCTGTATAAGGCGTAGCTGGTCTATAGCCTGTAAGTCATGACTTCACTTTCACCAGCTCCTTCCTCCCAATAATTTGTATTGGTATTCAATTTCATGGTTTTGTAATCTTGCATTTTAAGGATGGTCTGCCATCCTATTTTTCTTATGGAAACATGCCAAAGTCATTATATCCTTAATATAAAGAGGACTTAAATTTTAAAAATTGACTACATCTTAAAAAGGATGACTGCTTTAAAATTTACATGTCTGTTTACTGGATGAAGGGGTATGCTGAGGGCAATAAAGATTAATGAATGGGCCTAATTAGACAGCCACAAAGCACTCTTCATTGTGGGTTTTCCCAACCTGTACTATCTCGATCTCTCAAGCATTGGGGGGCTTTGTTCGTTTGTCAGTCATGAAACAGTAAATTTTTGTACTCTTTTGTACTCTTTTGCGCCTTAATCATCAATCTTGCTTTTCCCTTTAATCAACAATGTAATTTTCTCATAGCTTGTTTACAAAACAATTTATTGATTTCCCCACCATATTTTTTGTGCATGCATGTGCAGGTGACCTTGATTCTTTGAACTTTGTGTACGCTGATGGAGAATGTGACAACATCTTTCCAGTTGATGTGGTGTTATGACTTTAAAGTAAACAATTGTAAAAATCCAACTCCGTATTAAAAGGGGATGCTACCAAGCTAGACATCTATAACAAACAATAGAGGAATCATGATTTAGGGTGTCGTGACTGATGAAATGAGCATAGCCTAGATAAAGAAAGACTCTGATAAATCAAAATGAACCCTCTTACATTATGTTGAAAGATTGAGAAGGAAAGAGTTGGACGGAGATGCCTTGATTAACCAGGATGTTACTTAGAGTGTGATAAACCTCATTGTATTTTATAGGCTTGTTTACAATTGGCATCTTCCAAACACACAAACAAACATAAAACAATACTAATACACTACATTTTGATTTTAGATTTTAACCTGAAATATTTGAAGCTCGTTGTGCCCATATTTGGCAATATATAGTTTCCTCTCCATAACTCTGATAGCATTGAACTACGTAACTAAATATTAATATTGATTTACAGGCACATGAGTTGTTTGAGTCTCTGTTGCGGTTTCAAGCCATTCGGATGGATGACCAGAGGTGTCACATGCCTCTGTCACCCAATCAGGTGACTGCATATGATCACATGATCAATGACATCATAAATGTTGTTGTTTTGCTTTTACGCTTCAAACGTTCACAATTGATATATTTTCTCAATAATGATATAGTTCAGATGAGATACTGAGACATTTAAAGCACTTTGACAACTTGCTATCTAGAAATATTTTAATTGAGAAATTATGTCAGTAATGGATTTTTCCGAAGAAACAGCTTATTGTAGAAATGCTGCTGATGTCATACATGTTTTGATGATGTCATATATGTTTATATCATATCTGGTTGTTTTGAAAGCTGATATACATGTACTCTAGTTGCTTATCAGTCCGTGTAATTGTTTTTTATGCGATGACGACATTATTCAATAATTCAGATTGCTTTGTTATGATTATTTTGAATACGCTTTAATGTTGTATGTAAGAATTGAGACAATACAACCTTGTATTGTATACAATATTGATATCTTTTTTTTCAGTTTAAATCTGTCATTAATTTGTACTTTGATGTAAATGTAGAAAATGTCATTTAGATTGTTTTATTGACACTTTGCATTCTCAGATCCTGCCTGGGATCTTGCGTTTATAGCACTCTTATTTCGCATGGAGATTAGGATAGGGAAATTAAATGATGTTTAGCATTATTATTTTTATAGAAGGATAAAGGTTTTGTTTTTTATCATATTAGTAATATCTCCTTGGAGCATCTTATGTCCAATGAAATTTATAATTTTTTTGTCAAAATAGGTGACTTTATATGATAGCGCTTTTCTATAAATGCTACATTGATGTTATAGATTTTAGTATATAGTCTTGAAATGTGAAGGAATATGCTGAACTCTTTTGTCACTCTAGCCTTATAAAGTATCCATTTTCTATATAAGAACTATTGTATCTTAAGCAAATGGGATTTGTGACATATAATATCTCGATCACTTGTTCGTGTGTGATTATCATCTTATGGTTTATTATTCAAAGTAAAAACTCTATTTCTAAGACAATTGTTTTTCTTATTGTTATTTGCCATACATCATATATGTTTTTATTTGGGTTAAGTTTGATATACCTCATTACTCATTAATCATTTTGATTTGTAATAATTACATGCAACAGTTGTATAGTTTGTCATTCTTTGTGAGCTGTGATGTGAGCCAGACTGTCAGTATGCATTACAGACTGTCAGTATGCATTACACATAATATCATTCACAATTATAATATTTACATTGTTTGATTAATGGAAAATCTGGTTGAATGATTTCATTTCATCAATTAGTTTTACGTCTGAATAAACAGTTAGGCGATTGTATGTCGTAGGAAATGCCTGTGAGAAGCCATTGTGGCTGTTGATTTCTACTGTCACCTTTTGAAAAATAAAAAAATGTATTGTGTTCCTCGGGGCTCAAATGTCAATACAGTATTATATAGATTTCCAAGAATATTGATCACATTATTACACTCAGATCTGATTTCCAGATGTTTCCGAGTAATAAACCTTGGAGCCCTGGGTGACATGATTTCTTTTCTTGTGTGACTCATGCAATAAATAAATAACTCGAATATACAAAATTAAGTTTAAGATGCTGTAATGTCTGGTTGAGAACATCAAATAGATATTTGAATTACTTGAGAAGAAAACTGAGAGCTATTGAAATTAAATCACCATGACACATGAGATTATTAGTATAGTGACACATCATTGTGTGATGACACATCATATTGACTCAGTCATCTGATTTCAAGTTAGATCAATCAAAATATCCAGGTTCAATTGACCATTTAATAAGAAAAAAAGAAATCTTCAGATGATGTCATTTTGCACCAATTAATCCTTTCAATATTTGATCCTTAAATACCCAGAGTGACGAGAGAAAACTAGTGACAGAAGAGAGAAAACTAGTGACAGAAATTGTAATGCATGGCAATATTTATCTAAGTTACATAAAAAAAGCAATTGTATTCAAGATTGCACATGTATAATATTCAGTGTAATAGTGCATTGGTACTTGTATGTTTGCCCCATATAGGTGATTTAAGATCATAGATAACGATAGGCTATAACATTGCCGTTGTTTGAAAAGGTGTTTATTAGCATTATATTTATATTATTAACATCCAGTGAACATAGAAAACCATGGAGGTCCTGAAAAAACACTTGATATAAAGTACAATAACTACATAATTGTGCAATAACTATGTAGTTATACATTATTATACAATAACTACATATTTCTACAATAAATAAATAATTATACATTAACTACATTATTGTACATTAGTTCCATTGTTATACAATAACTGCATAATTATGCAATAACTACATACTTATACATTAACAATATTTTTATACAATAACTACATAATTATATATTAACACCATTATTATAAAATAACTACATAAATATACAATAACCACATAATTAAACAATGTCTACATAAACAGAAATACCTGCAGCAGAAGGATCAGGAGGCAATATTTGAAGAAAATAAACACATATGTCATACTCATGATTAGACTCGTTCCTTCCTGATGTCTGGCTCGGAAAGAACTGTTATTGAATTATTTCACTGGCAGATTAAACAAGCAAGATTATAGCAAGACTGGCAGTATTAATTAAGCAAGTATTTAATGTCAATGTGAATGATAAATTACACAATCCATAATTCCATTGTTGAAGATGTTTTATATCCAGATTGATTATCTCATTCTCATTATGATTCAATAAAATCATGCATGAATGATTGGGAAAAGTGATTTCCCAAGCACTGACGAAGCTATCAGGCACAGTATCTTTTTGTGAGTGTGACCTTTCTCCCAGTTGAATATCTATTTGCACCCATGGTGATTGATTCAAATGGAAATATTTTCACTAGTTTGGATGTTTATTAGAATAGGCATTAGGCAAGGTGAGAATTTCGCTCCGAGTTGAGGAAAAACCTGCGAGAACATTGTAAACATTAATATTTTATGAAATGGTGTCATCAACGAGAATCAATCACTACGTTATTAACTCCCATTAGACTCGATCATCTATCATTTAGAACAATTTTCTGGATTGCAATTCTCTAATTTATCGTGTACCCTTAGCACTGATTGTTGACACATATAGCAGTGACATGTATAGATTTACTATTAACCTAGATTGTACCTCAGTCTGTTGTCATTAAGTGAGGTTGAATTCTCATGAGTGTGTTCATTTTCATTTTTTAATATTTACTAAAATACATCTCCCTAAATGATAGAAATATATATTCAAAGAATGTAGAGGATATCCTATGCTTCAAATGAAATATGGTTTTTATCTACCAGTTGACAGTTATATCTGCCAGATGAGCCAAAGGAGCAAAAATCCCATATTAGAAGCCATATCATGTAATACAAGTATAGGTTCATTGTCACACAAGAAATCTTTCACTTAACAATCTTCTACTCGACAAACTTTTGCTGAATAATATGCTGGAATAGTTCAATAATATGAATTTTCTCACTCTGGTGAAAAAAATTCTGGGCTGTTTATTTTGATTTCTTAAAATGTCTATATAATAGCCTAACATTATTCTTTATTACCAACAAGATTAGATATTATGTGCTTTAGGATTTCTAATTTGATGTAATATTAGATTAAAACCTCATAATTCTGATTCATTATGCACAGCCATGGAGGTTTTAGTTCACTATTTGCTGTATTTTCTCAATGGCAATAAGTATTGCACAAGACTTCTATAATGAGTATTACATACCCAGCGAAGCATTTGTATTGAAGTCAATGGAGCTGAAGGTCGGCTATATATTCCTGTATAGCCGCCAAACCTTTTACCATGACAATCTTATGACGTCATCGGGACGTCATGTTTCATTTCTTCCTAATTTCACTCGCACACAGACACGTGGCGTCATTGATATAACGTAGCCATGATATAAAAGTATGTAATACAACAGTTATGTCCGTATCATTGAATATATGCCTTCGGTCTGTCGTAATATAACCCTCGCAAGCTCGGGCTATATTGGTGACAGACCTTAGGCATATATTCAATGATAGGGACATAACTGCTAAATATAATATAGCTGGTTATATACTTTGCTGATGCTCCAGTCAAATGTTATTTTAATTTCTGGAATTTAGATTTATTATGTTTGTATGAAGCATGCATGACAACTGTGATATTCTTATTGTGATGCTACTTTTATTTTATGACATTGTTTCATCAATGTACATTTGCAGGACTCTCTTGGGATATGCTTAACTTTACAATGCACCTCCCTTCTGATAGGTGAATGGAATTGAAATCTTATATACAGTACAATACTGTTTATATGTCATATGTCATGCTTTGATACTATTGTCATTAAAGAAATATATATAAATGAAACTCGCCCATGAACACCTGTACCATCTAATAGGTGGACCTCACTATCTGTTACTTAACGTTAACCCCCTAGGAACCTGCCTGAACCACCTGTAACTATCATTAATATCACGAGCCATTTTTCTTGTCTACTAACCAACTGTACATTAGTGCTAATTACATACTTGTATAAAAAAGAAGCCATATATTGTTGTATGCATGTTTGGTATATACTGTATACATGTGATTGGCATCATGCGAGACAGGAGTAAACGAAATAACAGAAACAAATGGAATTCATTTTTCAATTCTTTATTTCAGAGCGCCAGTACATTGCAAAGACCTGAGAAGAAACCGTTATTTGCATCAGTACAAGAGGTAGGTCAAACAAGAAGAAATCATTATTCGTAAAGTGCATTTGTTTTCACAAGTTAAGAATTTGATTCAGTATACAGGATTTGAAGTATACTTATTAGATATTATATTTTATCAGTTTTTAGCATGCTTATGTATAAATTAAAACCTAATCATTTCAATGAAAGAAATTAAAAATGGTTGAATCAAAATAAAAACAAGACTGCTTAGACCTGGTTGCAAGCAATATGTCATTTTGTCCCCATTAAGTTTGATGATTGATGGCTCTATGAGACCTCCTTTGTTGAAGCAGTTCTTCAGAGCTGACTTTTCCTCATGGAATTAGCCAAGGGGTTCAGGCTTTTTCCCTTATGGATTTAGCTATACCGGCTTTTCCCTCATGGATTTAGCTATACTGGCTTTTCCCTTATAGTTTTAGCAATGGTCAATTTTCCCTCATTGTTTTGCTGAGCCTTTTCCCTTATGGATTTAGCTACATGGGTTTTCCCTTATGGATTTAACTATGTCGGACTGCTCTGTATTGGGTGGTTGCATATATGTCATCCTGCCATTTGGAAGTGGGCCAGGTCTTTTATTATGTCCTTCCACTGCTTCTTTATTTGCAATAACAGTCTCATAAGAAACAATAACATAGACTGTAAGATATGGTGTGGAAATTACCTTTGTCAGCCCTTGTTATTTAACATACTGTGCTTTTTAATTAAATGTCCTTCACAAGATTGAAATAAATGTTTAAAGCTGCTTATTGCAATTTTTGCAACAACAGACTGTATGTATCGGAAATTCAATTCTCTGCTCTCTAAACAGGAGATTTGTAAGTCCCTTGACCAATCAGAGATGAGGAAATAATGATGATATGAATGATGGGTTTTAGCGCCTGGCACTGTCATCTCTTTAAATGAAATACTGCCTACCTGAACCACCTGTGCCCCATCATCATTAGTAATCCTACTTTAACTCTGATATTAGGTCATTTCAAAAATATCAATAATTTGAGTACATGTTAATGGGCATTGTGTGCATTTTCATTATGTGCATTGACATCATATGCATTTATATAAAGAACTCATGTGACATTTCTACTTAAAGGATAAATCCAAATTATATTTCATAATTTCCATTTTCCAGGTACTTCGAGGTGCCCAGCCTTACCCCATGGTAATCAAGCCACCAAATGGTGGCTATTGGATAGATGGCGACACACAGAATCAGATTGACGCAGAGGGGAACAAACTACCCGGCAGTGAATCACCATCTCCCAATACACCTAGCACTCCATCAAGTTATAAATTTGAGGGAGATAACACTGCAAAACGTTACCGGGATCATTTTCTACAGAAGGTAAGTGATGTGTTGAATGATCGTACAGACTGGGAAGGTTCATGAGAGGCTTGGTTCCCTTGGGGTCATTAACAGAAACTTCATAAGATTAAGAATTCCTACATGAATTGCTGTTACCATGGATATAATGATGTCATAGTAAGAGAACAATGGATTTTAGTTTCTGTTAATGACTCCCGCTGGTTAACTATGAAGATCTACGCTCTCAGCAGGATGTTATTAAAACAGTAAATATTACATAAAGTAATTTTTACGACACAATTTAACTCTCTGTCTTTACATTTGAGGAAACCATTGCCAGAGGTTTAATGATTTTTATCTCCGCTAACATAAAAAACAGCAAATTTCTAATCGACCTTTACCACATTTTGTTTTCATTGTACAGTATATCAATAACTTGACAAGCCCAACAACTGACATTGGATTTCCTTGTTTTGATGAAAATGGCTTGTATAGATATCATATCGTCATAGGTTTATGGCAGAATTATATTGTTGGCACAATAAGCTGTTTGATGTTAGAATCGGTAATGTTATCGGGTTCATTTTAGAAGAATCAATGCATAATGATAAGTTTTAATGTCCCTTGGAGTCTTCCATGAGCTAGTATAATCTGGCATATGTCAAGGTTTGTCATAGATATTGACAACATATTGATGGTACATGGAAGATCAAAGTCAGTCATCATGTCCTGCCATGCCAGGTTATTACATATATAAAGAATCAATATGATAAAAGGAAGATCTTGTGAGTGGTTTATCATCTGACTGCTCCCAGCAGAGATTGCCTCTGTAGCGATGCAAAACCTTTAATATACCATATTGAGCACTTCATTTTTCCAGATAAATAGAGGATATCCTATGATTTATGAGTGATATAATTTTTATCCACGAATGGATATGATATCTGCACGAGCGAGCGTAGCGAGAGAGTGCAGATATCAATATCCAGGAGTGGATTAAAATCATATCACAAGTAAATCATAGGATGTTCTTTTTATTCCATAGTTTAAAAGTCATCATCAGAATCGTTGGAAATTAAATGATTTAAAACGAATTTTCCAAACGATCAGGCGATATTGACACTTAGCCTCGTTTTAAGTCTGAAGTAGCAAAAATCCTTAATTCATAGCATACGGCGCCGTATGTCATGGCTAAAACACCGTATGCTATGGTTAAGTGATTTGTCAAAAATATCATTTTACCACTGATTACAAAAATACCGTTTTTATTTTGACTAAATTTAAATATTTGGACACATGTATATGACCACAGATTTCACATAAACATATTCCATTTCATTTTTTTATAAATAGCTACTCATTTGTTAATGTTTGTTCGTTTGTTGCTATGGTGATGTCACTCTTTCAAATTAACATTTCTGACATCTCTAATATTTCCCTTTGAGACACCTCATCTGAGATCTGAGACAAATCAAATAATTATATTTTAATCTGTATTTACAGGAACACTTCAACTTTTATGGTCAGGATGATCAGGTCGGCCCCATTGTGTTATCTGTCAAAGAGGAGACATCGGGGAATGATTCCATTACCCGTGTAATCTTGAGGTATGTAAACATTACAGGCTTCAACTGTTTTTAATGCAAATCAATAGCAGCTGTGTTATGGACATTTTTTTACATTTTCTTTAATCATATAATTTTATTTGAAAATTAGTAGGACCTTTCATAAAAAATTGTTTCGCTGCTTGGGTACTTGTTTTCACATAAACATAGTTTTACATTATTAAAATGTATTGTAGTTATATAAAATTAAATGTAGCTGTCATGAAAATATCTTGGAATAAACCCAATATTCAAAACCTCATGGTAGATAATCTTCATCTATTCTCCAGGACCAAACAAAGAACGAGCCATGAGGTGATATCTAACAGTGATCCTGACCACTCCCCAAACCCTGCCAAGCTGGCCAAGATGCTATGTGAAGACATCAGTGTCTCCCAACTCTATCCTGTGCTATTCTCAAAGGTCAGTACATTTTCTGCAATAGTCTCCAAGGTAGATGGTTATTTTTTTCAACATTATCATTAATTGTCACTGTTCTGCTGTGATTTAATATCAAATAGATAGTTTTGGTTAAAAGATTTGGCAAAAGACAAGGAGTCACATAATAACACTGACAAATGCGTATTGCTCAGCCAATAAAGCCTAACATGATGTAGTATGGTTTGTAAAATTAATGAATAATCTTAATTCCACTTGTACACCCTATGCAGACAGAGCCTGTGGGAAATATTGGGTGGGGAGCAAATGAGCGGAGGGTGCGGAGCTAACGGTCATTTTTGAATTTAAATTTGGGATATTTCTGGAACTAAGCCGTTTTGGGACTTCAAATATACCAAGATATGTGTATTTGACACCAAATATCAATACAATTGTGAAAATAGTAGCGCAATTCATTCTATAGCGACGCAGTGTGCCTTAAACCTTTCCCAGACCTATATATTTTGAAATTATCCTTTTAATACTGAGTCCCCAGCATTCATAAAAAATGGTGTTCAAGGTACACTATCTATACAAATTATTTTTGCATCTTGGAAGCCAGGCAGTATCAGTGTGATTTTATAAAAAATCGGAAATGTTTTTCAGATATGAGCCCCCTCTAAATATTGGGTGCGGAGCAGCTCCATAAACGTAGCTCCGCACCCAATATTTAGAGGGGGCTCATATCTGAAGAACATTTCCGAATTTTTATAAAATCACACAGATACTGCCTGGCTTCCAAGATGCAAAAATAATTTGCATGGGTAGTGTATCTTGAACACCATTTTTTATGAATGCTGGGGACGCAGTATTAAAAGGATAGTCTCAAAATATATAGGTCTGGGAAATGTTTAAGGCATACTGCGTCGCTATAAAATGAATTGCACTACTATTTTCACAATTTTATTGATATTTGGTGTCAAATACACATATCTTGGTATATTTGAAGTCCCAAAACGGCTTAGTTTCAGAAATACCCCAATTTTAAATTCAAAAATGACCGTTAGCTCCGCACCCTCCGCTCATTTGCGCCGCACCCAATATTTCCCACAGGCTCTGTCTGCATAGGGTGTTGTAGAGGGATCATTAAGTTCTCCAAAATTAGCATTGTTAAGATCTAATATTATTTCCATGTAATATTCCAGGGCTCACAGCTTGTTGTGACATATGATGAACACGTCTGTACAAACACATACAAGTTTGGCGTAATCTACCAGCGGTATGGTCAGGTGACAGAGGAAGAGCTGTTTGGGAATGAAGAGCATTCTCCTGCCATGGATGAGTTCTTAGATGTCTTAGGGGATAGGGTACCTCTAAAGGACTTTAAAGGGTTAGCTTAAATGATTTTGATTTAATGCGATTATTTACATTGGGTCTAAAAGATGTTATATGTCTACACTGTTACAGAGAGTTGACGTTTTCTAGTATGTACAGAAATAAGCACATAAAAAGGAAAAAAGCTTGGTACAAATAAGATGTTTCTATTGCAAAACAAACACACATGATTGTTCATGTTTTGTTTGGTGTATTTCCAGATTTCGTGGGGGTCTAGATACTCAACATGGCCAGACAGGCGACCAATCAGTCTACACGCGATTTGATGATAAAGAAATCATGTTCCACATATCTACATTATTGCCATATACTGAGGGGGACTCACAGCAACTCCAACGTAAACGACACATCGGCAACGACATTGTTGCGATAATATTTCAAGAAACAAACACACCATTTGTTCCTGATATGGTGGCGTCTCATTTCTTACACTCGTACATAGTCGTGCAGCCAATCAATCCCAATACAGAATTCACACAGTATAAAGTGACAGTGACTTCACGGGATGATGTTCCACGCTTCGGTCCAAAGTTACCCAAGCCCGCCATATTTAATAAGGTGCGTAAATCATATGATTTAAACACAAACATACAATCTTACAGTGTTATTTTTAAACAATAGACACATGCATCTCATCATTAAGATTTTAATAAATTTTGATGAATACAAAATGAAACTTCAACATTAACAGTCATTTGTTTGTCTTAATTTATTTCAGGGTGAGGACTTCAAACAGTTTATTCTCACCAAGTTGATAAATGCTGAAATGGCCTGTTACAAAGCAGAAAAGTTTGCCAAATTAGAGGTGAGTACAAATGAGGGTTTCGGGAGTGTCAAGTGTCAGTGTCAAGTGTCATGAATTGCATGATTCTCCTTCAGGTTCCAATGAGTGGATTGATTTCTTTTTTTCTATTGTTAATCTCATCCATGTAGATAATTGTTGACAGACAAATGACTGCACCAAGCATCAGGCTTCTACCTACATGTACAATGTACATGTACAACATTGCCTCAGTGTATTTCAAGTAATTTACTGATATATGTATTTTGAAACACAATTACTTGCTTCGTCAAGTGAATAATGTTTTAATATTTGTTGTAATAGGGGATGAAATAGGAAAATAATGTGGATAATTTTGATTGTTTTAGGAGCGCACAAGGGCAGCATTGTTGGATGCTCTGTACCATGAGTTGTTACAGAGGAATCATGAAATCTTTGGTGCTCCTAGCTCCCCTACAATAGAGACAAAGTCCGAGAGCAGTAACAGTATTTTAGACAGTTTCAAAAAGGTAAAAATATTAAACTCCTGTATGTTTCTTTGTCATATACAGAATGTCCTTGTTATTCCAAGTTGTGAAGTGGACATGCCAAACTGTTGGCCAGAAAGTATTCCACTTGATGAATTGACCTCACACTTCAGGGTCAACTAGTGTATTAACTTTGTACTCTTCAGGCCCGTTGCCAGGATTTGCCAAGGGGGTTCATTTTTTGAAAATTTCCAGGGGGGGTCACTTTTGACAATTTTGGTCCTAAAATGGCCAAAATCACTTAAAATGTGGTCAGAATGATGAAAAACTGCATGATTTTGAAAGAATTTTTGGCCAGGGGGGGGGTTCGCTTGAACCCATCGAACCCCCCCCCCCCCCTGGCTACGGGCTTGCTCTTGTTTGTATGAAATTCTGGTTGTCATGAAAACTAAACATTTAATACCCACTTGTGTTTTTCCTATTTTCTTGTAAATCTCTTGAAAATGTTGCGATGATGCACAAAATTCGCAAAAATGATCAAATCAGTTGATTCAAGTGCATTGTTCTTCTTGAACCCGGATTTCTGATTTATTCGATAATATTTAAAACAGACTTCATCAGTTGATCCGATCAATTATGGAAATTATTTGATGAACCGCTAGAACAAGATAGTCATTAGTATTTATAATTCAAGTACTAGAAGATGTCGAGCGGAGTTTGTACTTGATGACAGAATGCTCTGATTTGTGCTAGCTAATTCTAAATATTGGAATATGTGACTTAGTGCATTTCAATTGACACCTTTTGTTCATAAACAATGCCTTGGGTGTCTTCAGAATATATCCAATTTCCAATGCTTGACTAATTAGTGTTTAGAAAGTCAAGGATTATCATTAAGAATACATATAGGGCAACATCAAAAACTCACAAACTCAGAAATTATTTTAACCATGATAGCAATGGAAACAATGTGTCTAACATGTTTATTTATTGAAAGATTTTGCAGAAATTTTTTTATGGATCATAAATACCTTTTCATCCCCATGTAACCTATACAAGAATATAGAATACATGAAGTGAAAGGCTATAAATTATTTTTCAGGTGCTAGGTGGTAAAAGAAGTCCCTCAGTGGAGTCGAATCTTGCCAATAAAAGAACTAATGGTCTTGTGTCTGCCCTTCCATCTGTGGGGGAGGATTCTTCGAGCTCTCCGGTAAGTTCAGACAAGGACGTCCTTAGTTCAGAGACCTTAGTTCATATGGTGTATTGGGATTTTATACTCTTCTCCCTTTTGAATGATTCTGGTCTTCATTCAAAGATCCATATACTTGTAGTGCTATATATGAACAAACATTATATTCATTCAAATATTATTATTTTCATTATTTTATTTTGTTCTGTATGTACTTCACATGTTTCAAATATCACAATGCCTTTGTCATGTTTATGCCAAATATGAAAAAATATTGTAACTGGTATTTATTTGTATTTATAATTCTTTATTAGGGCCGAAAACATGGAAAGAATAAAAACAGACCATTCTCAACAACATTAGATAAGAAAGACTTCACAGAAAAAACATCGTAAGTTGTGCCTAAACATAGAATAGAAATACTGTTCACGTTCAAAGATTTAAATCATGGAATATTTGGTAATAATAATAATAAATAAATAATACTACTACTAAACGTTTAGAAAATGGATAAATACTCATATGCTGGCAAGTTGTTTTGTTGTATATGGTTAATAATTTTTTGAAACATTTTGACCATTATGAAATTTCATAATGTGTGGTTAATATTATATGACGGAAAATTTATTGAACGCCCCTTGTATGTAATTGTACAAATTGATATTTGATGATAATCTTTTGACCACAACCCTTGTATTTAATTACAGCCTTGTATCCGCTAGTGAATGCCAAAGCAGCAGCAGTTTCAGCCAGTCTTACCATACATGCATTAGTGCACCAACTACGCCCAACTCCTCTAGTCCAGACACTCCCCTACAACTCAAAAATGGGTACGATATTTTTTATTTTATTCAATGAGGTCTGGCAAGAGCTATTGCATTGTTTGTATCTATACAAAGTATGGTATTGAAGAGTTGATCAATAAAAACATGTAGACCAAAATGAATATATTTTATTCATCTGGATCTACTTATTCGTGAAATTGCCATTTTTCTAGTTGTTCCATATTTTCATTATTTTCTGATCTATCATGATGTTGTACAAGTGTGATGATGTTATCTCTGTATTTGTAGGGTATGCCAACGCACTCCTTCTACCCACTCTAGTGACACAAGCAGTTTTAACAGTATTGATGACTTCGATGATGCATTCACATCAGGCATCCATCACGATGACTCAGATACGGGCATGGTGGGTGTACACTACACAACTCAACATAATGTAAATAACATTCAAGGCCAGGTGCTTCCTCACCAGCCGATATATGGCTTAATTCCAGGCTTTGGCTTATCGTCAGTGTGTCTCAGTCTTAAAGCTTTTAATGTGTCGTCTGGCTTATAATTAACAATATTAACAGATAACAATTGTGTTTTACACCTTGTTCAGTTTTGATTCTGGTTTCAATTCAGAACAAGATTTATGTGGTGATTGTGCTTGAAATGCTTATACTATAGAAACTACATGTACATCTTCTCTCATCATTGTTTTTTTCTGTTCTGAAAGTTCTATAATTGGATAAAAGTTGCTCTTTGAAATCGTTGTATCAAAATGCACGCTTTATAAATGGAAATAGACAGAAAACTATTTTGATGTTTGTTTTGATGATTTTGTGTGAAAAAGTCATGCATGCCATTGCCATGGTGATTTCTTCGCTTGTGAGAGTTGCTTTATTGCATTTTACCACGTTTTTGATTATATCTGTAGATATTAATTATAAAAATTAATTATGAATAGATGGCAGCATATACCTGTATGAACACTCAGTGACATCTATCTATACTAATGCTATAACACTTAGGGAGATTGAACAGAAATTCAAATACAGAATAATGGGAATCCTCTGGAGCCCTAGTATCATAATGTGGTCAACTCATATAGCAGGCTTTTGAATTTAAATTCATTCAAGTTTAGTTTCTGATTATCTCTGAATTCATAAAACATTCCAAGTCTAAAACAAATAATATATTTAAAAAACACAAATATTAATGATTGTTTATTTTTATTTGTCCAGGAAAGTATGTCTTCCTCAGAAGCCAACAACAATAAAAGAATAAGTCTGTCAAACAGTTTCCAAGATGACCCTGGCTGTATTACTGATATGGACAGTAAGTTGGATTTGAATGTTTCTTCAGATAAATATGTACTGTATGTACTTTTCGGTTTTTCTATTTTCATACATCAGAACTTGGTAGGGTTTCTAAATATATTTAAATCCACCTCATGTAGTTCATTGTTAGAAATAGTCGGGGAAATAGTTGACATTTGAAAATTAATTTAATGTGATATGTATGGCTTATCTTTACATATTCGTCATTTTGTCAAAATATATGATATGATATGATATTAGACATGATACAGTACTAGTTCAGGCGTACATGTACTAACCAATCATATTCAACTATATTAGGTGAATCCCTACTTCGCCAAATGGAACAGCTGAGGTTGGAAGTGATGAAGCTGAAAAGTGAAAAAATTGATCTCCTACGTCAAAATGTGGTGAGCGCCTATGCTGTTGTATGATCAATTAAAATCTGAGATAAAAATTTCTATCTCAGAAGAAAAATTCTAATCTCAAATTATATATGAAGAAATTTTTAATGAAGCCAAAAGGATTCAATATATTCATTAATATTGGCAAGTAAGATTCTCACTGAGAATGACTAATTTTGCAAACAAAATGTTTGGCCTCAGAAATCAACAAATAAACAAACAAGTAAACAAATGTAAAGAACTTGTGTTTGACCATAAATGCCATTTTCTATTTCAGACCAGTCAGCGAGAAATCAAGCGATTAAAAGAACAAGACATTCGCCTAGCAACAGAGCTTGGCAACCAGCAACGGGAGATTGGACATTTAAAGTCACGCTGCATTGAGATAAGCGAGGAAGCAAACGTCTAGAGCCACTGGGCTGAAATCAAAATATTTGGACTGTGTTCTAAGGAATGTGTTCTAATAAATCACCGCCATTTGAAACCTAGAGCCATGAAGGAAATAAACTATGAAAGAACTTTCTCTGCACGATTTGAGGAACTGATAGCCATTATTTAAGTTTACTTGTTTCTTATCTTTGCTGGACTTGCTCCAAAAGAAAGATCTTACACCATGTTCCTGTACAATACAATTTACTATATGTAAAAGAACGATTGAAAATCCATTGACTCTTGAGGATTCAAAGAACAGAGATTGTCTCTATATTTTTGCATAACCCACATCAGTGAAGATGTATTGTGTACTGTATAAGTCTACTGAGTTGAAGTGTACCTTATATTGTGCTATTGTATTCAAATACCTGAACAACTGTCTAGCTTTAAAGGTGGGTAAGATGTGCATTGAGTTGGTGAGATTTGCTTTTGCTTCAAGTCTCTGGACCCTCATCACCACCTTGTTTAGGCAATGAGTGTTCGGTTGGGGGGTCATAGGGGCTTGAAGTAAGACTAGTATGCTCATGTTAAATCCAGACTAATCAGAGCATGACTGTTTGGAGAAATGACCAATTATCTGCTCATAAGACAAAATTGGGTCCTGTCATAATTATGCTACCCAAGCTATGGGTCGTCTGACCCACCCTTCGTTGGTATACGTATAGTATCACCATTTGTTTAGATCTGAAACTATGACTGAGAAAAACTATACACGCAATTTGCAGACTATAAAAAAGTTCTCTGAACATTTAAAAAAACGAAGCAAAGTTGTATGACTTTCAAAGTGCAGAAATCCGACATTTTAAAATGTATATTAACATCGGGAGATTAGTATGAGAAATCCTTGTAAATTCTAGTTGGCTTAAAATGAGATTAGATGAAATATTTCAAATTTGAGATACTACTAAAGAGAGATTCCTTGTTTCAGCCAGTAATTCCTTCAATCTTGTGCAATATGAAATACGTCCCATTTATGGACAGTATATAATTGATGATGTATATTTTGTAAATATTATTTATTTTAATATTATGGGCAATGTTGGTTATCTTGAGATATTTCTTAAGGAAATGTACTTGCAATTATAGACATACATAAGCTAATATAATATTATGTATTGTTGTATGTGTGATCTAAAAGCATTGTACAGTATGTGTTAAGAATTCATGTACTTATGTAGAGAATTATAAAAACTTAACAAAATACATTATACATTTTCTGTATAGTATTTGCTATTTTTACTACAGTTGATGATAGGAACCCATTTTCCAATAAAGGATTGACAAAATATTTTTTGAAATCACAGTTTGACCAATATTCGCTACCTTTTTAATTTCCCAAATTCTATACCAACAAGGTATGGTTTGAATAATGGTTTAAAATCTTATCTTAGAAAATGAGTGTTTTGAGTGTTTTCATAAAAGTGTTATTTTTCATCAAAATGATAACTTTTCTTAAGAAATCATATTATTCTATAGTTAGCATGATATTCATCGGATAACATTTCAAAATAAAAACGGTATTTTTGTAATCAGTGGTAAAATATGATATTTTTCACAAATTTTCACTTAACCATAGCATACGGAGTTTTAGCCATGACATACAGCGCCGTATGCTATGAATTATGGATTTTTGCTACTTCAGACTCAAAGGCTAAGTGTCAATATCGCCGGATCGTTTGGAAAATTCGATTTAAATCACTTAATTTCCGACGATTCTGATGATGACTTTAACTATGGAATAAAAAGAACATCCTATGATTTACTCGTGATATGATTTTAATCCACTCATGTATATTGATATCTGCACTCTCTCGCTACACTTGCTCGTGCAGATATCATATCCATTCGTGGATAAAAATCATATCACTCATGAATCATAGGATATCCTCTATTTATTTTAGTGAAAACATAGTATCTATGGCCAGAATAAAGTCATAGTCAAAGATATGATTTTATTAATTCATTTGCAATACCATACCTAATTTCTAATTTTTATTAAAATTATTGATGCATTAAACCGTTGTGTTCTGAAGACCAGACAATTCATTTTTTGTTAACATGAACTTGGAATTTTGAAGTATCTCTATTTATGCTTTGAGTATATTATACTCCTCATGTGTCTCAGTTGTAATTGAAACAAAAGATCTTTTCATGTCATTAAAACTTTAAAGTAAAAAGTGGATGAAATAATAACAAAGTAACTAGCTTTAAAAATAGTCAATATCAGCATTATCACTATGTATATTTACATATATTTACTTGGCAATATGCATCATATTGCACAGGTGCTGTAATCAGATGGAAATCATTTTGTTGTTGATTTTTTAAAAAGTCCACTCTCACTATCTGTCAATATTGGAAGCTAGGATTTTTTTTGGGGGGAGGGGGTTCATAAATTCAGACCTGGAGACTAAGACTGACGGTTAATTACAAAGGGAGGAAAAGCTAATGCCATGATGAATTTCATACCACTTAACAAGTTAAACAGTTATTTTGAGATTTCAACCCAACCCCTTAGAAACATTGAGATTTAAAGAAACCAAGTCTCAGAGTTATCCATCTTCTGAATACATCAACAAGTTTCTTCTGGAAGGAAGAACAATTCTTAAGTCCTGCATTCAGAGGATGAGAGAGACTCAATATAATATAAACTACTATGAAGTGTATTTTTGTATGTACTTATTGTACCAGTCTATAATGTGACAATAGAGAAAATGTGATTTAATCTTATAAAACTGATATTGTAAGATACATGTACATGTACTGTATTCAATATAGGTTATTGGTAGAATTATCATGTATTATTATACAAGTCCAAAGACTCAGTAAACAATAAACAAAAATATAAAAATTCATTTTTATGATGTTTATTTATATATACTTTACAAGAAAAATACCTTTAGTCCATTATTACTGTATGAGTAAGATATCAATAGTTGATAGTATACGTTATTGAATGATTTGAAGTGCAATACAGGATATATTCTGCTCGAGAATTCCATATTGGAACGAGACAAAGTCGAGTGCCATACAGAATATCGAGACAGAATATATTGCACTTCAAATCATTCAATAACGTTTTTAACGTGTGATCCTCTGTATTGCTACTGAGATTGTTCCCTCCGTACCAATATTTTCTGTATTGTAACTGAGATGATTAACGAGGACAATCTCAGTAGCAAAACAGATTGGTACAGCACAAGAACTGACCAATCAGAGGGCTCCATTTTACAGATCATACAATAAATTAATATGTTAACTTAAAAACAAAAAACAATACCTTTAAAAGTAATATTACAATACTTGTCTACATAATGAATTATGCCTCATGATATTTAAACTACAAACTACATGTATGTATAACCCTGTATTATAAGTGCTGTATATTATCAAAATATTAAAAGTCAAACTACAGGGTGTCTCATGATGAAACACCATAAATGTCAGTGTGCTTTACTCTGACTTTCAAACAACTAGATTATATTTTTTGAGTGAAATTTTCAATTTCATGTCAAATACATTGTATAAAAATATATATCTTTTTTAATTACAAACACAAATAAAGTGTATACATTTTAAAACTTATTTGCAATGAATCGACCATGGAAATCCATAGGTAAATGTATGGGCATGTATGCATAGTTCATCATTTCCAAAGTGGTACCATTCAAAACAGCTAAATAATTTTTACCCTTTTCTCCATCTAAAATAGAGGTGATGACAACTCCGTCATCCTCAGAGGTAGCATCAGGGCGGGGAATAAACCAGGGTTCCATTGGGTAATGGTTAGGTTTGTGCCATATAAGGTCAGCATTTGGGTTACCACAGACATTCTTTTTCCCAATTGCCCATTTACCATAATGAATGTTATCAGCTTTAGAAATGGTACCCCAGAAATTGCAATAGTTCAAAGAACGGTGATTCTCATTAATAACAGGGAAATCAATGTGAGTCATGACACTGTCAATAGATGGCATACTATGTAAATGCTCTGTGGTAACAGTAAGTGTTGTTAAATCAAGAGTGAATCGAGTCAATCTATTTGGGGTTTCAACCTTGTTTCTTTTTTCAACATTCATCATAGTTGGGATATTTATTCCAGTTAGTTGTTCAAAACCAGGGAAATGGGTGCAATCTGCAACAATTTTGGTTCCATTGTCAGTTTCATAAGAGTTAACAAAGTGAATGATCAAACCTGGGTATTTTGTTTCTAATTTGGTCATTTTGCCTGTGCGTAAATCAACCACATGGACTACCATTGGGTCATTGGGGTCACAACGCATGGCAGATTTCATATCAAAGGTACCTTCAGCCATTAAATTAGGGAAATCAAAGAAACAGGGTGTGGCAAAGAAAGCAGCATAGTTTTCAGTAACTGCAAAAGAATGCATGTATGGGATAGCATTACTATCGACCTTCCAGCTAGTGACTTCTTTAGGAACCATATCTTCACCCAAACGAATCACGCTGAATTCAGACTGGCCATCCAATTCAATTTTAACATAATAAGTTACCCAGTTATCTTTTTTGTATTCGAACAATGGATGAGCTGAGCTCAATCCTGGAACCTCTGGCATTTTAATACCCATTATGTTCTCTAAGAAATCTTTCATGGAGGAGTCTTGATCTTCAATATGCTTAGGCAAAAATGGTGTGTATGTTTTCTTCAGTTCTAACTTAGTCATATTGAAAGTGTACAATTTCCACATATCATTTAAAGCAACAAGTTCTGGGTCTGGATTAGTCTTAGAAGTTTCATAAACATTGACTGGGTTATTGTTCATACCATTCATCATACGTTGCATCTTCTCCATTGTGTTTTCTTCAGGAATAGTTCCAGCAAACAGAACATATGGGGCGATAGTGTTTGTAGCAACTGAGTCTTTATAATAATTGGTCTGCTGCATTTTTGTTGAGAAGAACACACTTTCTCCATCTCCAGGGAATTTCCAGCTACTCAACTTGGCGAAACCATCAAATGTGTGGACAACTTTTTTGTCTCCCATTTCAAACTTTCCAGGCCCATTCTTAACCTGTAAAAGCAATAAGAATCAGTTAAATCAAGTAAATGAAGGAACGGGTCAATTTTTCAATGATGTCTCAAAACATACTTCAAATAATTCCTAAAACATTATCAAACATTTTTTAAATAATCCATCAAGACTGAAATTTTTAGATCTTCTAAATGATGCTACTTCAAATGGCAGCCGTTCAAATCATGCATTTGCTAAAATTATTTTTCAACTGTTAACAAATACCCATCTCAATATTTGACTGATGATTATTTAGTAAAGACGTTTGTTCACTGTTCAATCGCCTTATGAGAGTTGATCGAAGAGTTGTTGTATTGTATAAAATAAGCCAGGCATGGTGAGAAACTGAGATGATGTATATACTGCTCAAAAATGAAAGTAAATGATAGAATAATATCTAAATTGCTAATCTAAATTGCTGTACGTGGTTCTCCTTGAGCTCTACATTACTTTGATGTTAGCTCAAAATGAAAAGAAAAGGTGTCCCTCCAGGAAAGTTTACATTTCTCGTATTTGTGACATCTTTTTTTTATATACCCATCCCCTCGACTAAACAATTTTTCATATTTTCCACTCAATTATAGGGCTAAAATAGTCTGGTTTTAAAGTATATTCTATAACAAGAGAGATACATCATCTTAAGATTTTTCCACACATACCCTGGACCTTTAAAAAGACTTACCAGTGTGCCTCTGACCCATTTTGGAATGCCACCTGGGAGCTCAAACTTCAATGGGACATCCTCCACCTCCTTCTCAATGCTAGTGAAGAGCAGTTTGAAGCCAGTAGAATCTTCAGGTACCTCTCCAGTTGTCATGAAGACCAGACTGAAAACAACACAAAGACTTTTGAGAATCTTCATTGTGGTGAATTTGCTTGTTTGTTGATTGTTGCTTGTTTGTCTTTTGTTGATCGATCTGTAAGACCTGCTGCTTGATGTCAAATCTGAAGAATCACAATTTTGGTTGAGTTTATATACCTTGATTTAATCTTATCAAATCGCTATCATATAGTGTTATCGAGCATTGATGTGTATGTATCATCTGCTATTACTGGTTAAATCTGGGGCCAAGGACAATAGGACATTGCCCATGAAGTCTGGGGACACATGTTCGAAGGTGACCCTGTTCATTTAGATTCTTAAAGTGACTTGAAAAAATCTCTGTTTTTTCTGTTTTTCTGTTTACCACGTATGAAGCTGAGCAATACATCTTTGGTATAAATCCCTAATGTGAATGGTCTTATTTAGGTATGTAATCATAAGGAAGAGCACTTCTTTCCATTTTGGGTTGAATAACTAGTATCCTTAACCAGACGAAGACCACAGACAAAGCCAATCCTAGCCTTTTATCTACAGGGTGTGCTATAAATGTATTCAAATGACAATTGCAACTACTTGTGAATGCAAACTCCCAGTTTCAAGGTCATATTTAATATTACAATTTTACACTTATTTACATATGCACAATTGGAATCAAATGGATGTCTTAGACAGTCTATCAGAGACACATTGTGTATGGTGTTTACACTTATGTGATTCATATTTTTGGCAAAAATAGTTGAGGCACTATTCTATCATTTACTTTAATGTTTTTGATCAATGTAATCTTTAGAATAATAATGTAATAATATTTTTTCAAAATTTGTTCCAATAAGCAAATCAAAATTTCAAATTTGATTGTGGATGAGGCATAATAACCATAACCAAATTGAAACAAACTGAACCATCCTTTACAGAACTGATTATATTCTATTTATCATGTTTATGGTCTTCGTTTGGTCATAACATATTGTAGAATGTAATATTTTCTCATACTTTAATTCAATTTCAACATAGTCAGTTGTGCTGCAGATGTCATCCCAAGGTCATGAATTCATATTAGCAATACAAGGACAGCCTTATTATTAGGTCATAGAATATTGTATAATATGATAATATGATAGCATACATTCTGTAAACAACTCATATATGAAAGATCTTATCACCAATGAAAAGATGAAACCAATCCTCGAATTCCTCTCCACAGTTATACCAAGAACAAAAGAAGTGTCTGATGTGTTCTCTAAAACAATATAGAGAAAAGTATATGTATCTATTTCAAATTATATTATTACCATCCCAAAGATGACCATTAAATTGACGATGTGTAAAAATTTCAGAATTTTTTGAAAATTGGTTCAAGAGAAACATGGGTTCAAAAAGTTCACCATATTGATACCCATCCTTTGTCCAAAGCAGGGGTAACGCTCAATTAGAGTGATGAACTTCATTCTCCAAACCGAATAGTCCTTAGTTGTAAGAAATGAGAAGATAGAAAGGTGTGATATTAGTATACAGTGAAACCTCTCTTTGTGATCATCTCTTTATTAACTGTCAAGTGAACACCATTCCTGGACAAAAATTCTCTCCATTGACTAACAACATATATTCACTTAACACGCACACAGAGTGAACACCCAACTTAAGTGAACACCCAACTTAAGTGAACACCCACCTTAAGTGAACACCCAACTTAAGTGAACACCCAACTTAAGTGAACACCAAACTTAAGTGAACACCCAACTTAAGCGAACACTCACATAGAGTGAACACCCAACTTAAAAGAAACACCCAACTTAAGTGAACACCAAACTTAAGTGAACACCCAACTTAAGTGAACACCCACCTTAAGTGAACACCCACCCTAAGTGAACACCCACCTTAAGTGAACACCCACCTTAAGTGAACACCCAACTTAAGTGAACACCCACCTTAAGTGAACACCAAACTTAAGTGAACACCCAACTTAAGTGAACACCCAACTTAAGTGAACACCCACCTTAAGTGAACACCCAACTTAAGTGAACACCCACCTTAAGTGAATACCCAACTTAGGTGAACACCCACCTTAAGTGAACACCCACCTTAAGTGAACACCCAACTTAAGTGAACACCCACCTTAAGTGAACACCCACCTTAAATGAACACCGAACTTAAGTGAACACCCAACTTAAGTGAACACCCACCTTAAGTGAACACCCAACTTAAGTGAACACCCAACTTAAGTGAACACCCACCTTAAGTAAATACCCGTACCCAACTTAGGTGAACACCCACCTTAAGTGAGCACCCACCTTAAGTGAACACCCAACTTAAGTGAACACCCAACTTAAGTGAACACCCACCTTAAGTGAACACCCAACTTAAGTGAACACCCAACTTAAGTGAACAGTTGCCTACAGCAAAACCATGAACAGTGAACACTCATTAATAATGAACAACTACATATAAACAGTCAACAAATTTTTATTCAGATACAGAGGTTTAATTGTAGTAAACCACGTGCTGTTAGTACACATGTTTCGGAGGTAAACGTTTATATTATCTTTCAGAGGGCTTGATCACAATCTGCCCTTATCAAATGAAGGTCTGCTATCATACTTTTATTTCACTAAAAATAGCATGAACAGAAAGTTTAAACTATTTTATCTTTCAGTTCAAGATATTGGGGCTGAGTTGTCCTTGAAACATACATACAATAAGTTGAGCAATCTGAGGTAAAAGAAAGATGATTTTTCTTCAGTTTGACACCATTTGGAAATGAAACAATTGTGTTTGATATAATAATCAATTGAGACAAATTGGAAACAAGGATAGGTTGTCCTTATTTAACAATGGCTGCACTTCCAGAATCAGAAATCAGAAGGAATTTTTTCTCATATTTGACACACAGGTACTCAAACTGAAATTTAAGGCTTTTTAAATTTTTATTTGAAAACAGTGACATTCCTCAAATTAATCTAAACCCCCAGAGCCTTATTGTGAAAAATTATCATGTTGGATTAATTTCAATTTTTGTAAACTTAAATTTTGCAATACTGTACGCCCGGTATTATTCGCGTGCCAATTAAATCTCTGGGAATTTGTTTTTACCCGGGGCTCTGATGCATTTCGTGCGCACGATTGTTCACATGATCGTTGCCTGCAATTTGATTGGATATCATATACTGGGGAATCCCCGAATACGATAAAATACAGTATGAAGTACGGTAAAGTTATTATGGGAGCCACGCACTTTTGCTTTAATATTAAAAATGACGATGCAATAGAGGTTGATATTACTGTACTGGCTTCCTGGTCATCCCAACCCCAAGTCAACTCAACCCAGTCCAACTCAACCTCAAGTCAAGTCAACCCCAAGTCAAGTCAACCCCAGTAAAACTCAACTCGCGTGCGAGTTTTACAGGGTTGAGTTGACTTAGGGTTGAATTTTACTGGGGTTGAGTTGACTTGGGGTTGAATTGGACTGGGTTGAGATGACTTGGGGTTGAGATGACCTGTCACCCCAGTGGCGTAGCCAGCAATTGGTGACCAGGGGTTCGATTTTTTATGTATCCACAAATCTCCCCCCTTCATCGGTGTACCTCACATAAAAGTATTTTTTGTACATACAATTTACACCCCTCCAAAAGTTTGGCAACAATTTGATTTTCTATATTGAAATAGTTTTTGGTGAATCTTTTACTGAAAGATATTGAATTCTGGTAGCAAAATCATACATTTTATATAACAATTGTTTATTTGTTCAATGAAATCCAAATCAAGGGTTAGCATACATTGAGACAACTTTTGTAAAGGGCAAATTACAACATATCTCTAAGGAACATATATTTTAACGAGCTACCATTGAAAAATCGTCATTCCCAATTCATCATTCAAAGATATGTCAAATTCTGGCATGCTATTCCCACACTTTTAGATGATTTTTGAAAAGAATCCAAATCAAAAGAATTTTATCTGCCATTTCATTTTGTAATAGAGGAGTTCATAATGACCTCATGAACTTACAGTTAGTTTCTGAATACTAGTATATTCAAAAGCAAATATTTTTGAAGAATGTAATACTTATTTAATCATGGCGCACAATAAAAGTCGTAATGGCTGCACGAATACTCTCAATTGGTACTGACGATAGAAGTGACAGATGACAAATAGTATTGTATTAATGGAATGAAACATAGGCTGAAATTAAAAAAAAAAATTGAAATAACAAAATATCCACTGTGCTCTGTAGGCTCTAACATTAAACATCTCTCTTAAATTTCAATGCCTTGCAACAAATAAAGAACAAATAATGCTGAAAAACTTATTTGTTGTGCTTTCTTTGAATTGAAAATAAAAAACTTTGAAAACATTCCATTTTCTATCACAGTTCCGCTGATTTTATCATTAATGACGAGAATCATGAAATGATCCCTATCTCAGCTTATGTGTGCCCCAGCACTTTAATATTTTCCAAAGTATTATGACATTCTATTCTTCATGTTACACCTAAGAATGATTCGTTATGACCATAGTGATATTTGCCAATACTCAAACCTCTTCCTTTACTATTTTTTCCTACTGGTCATATAAATTGAATATATGTTTCTGGTTATTGCAATGAATTTTTCCACAAATATTTTTTTGGGAGAAATCCCGACCGGGGGTTCGTCCGAACCCATCGAACCCCCGGTCCCTACGGCTATGCACCCAATTACTGTACATCTAACTTAATTTACACACGAGTAGCTCGAGAATTCCTGGAATACAGTAGTAATGAATTTCAAACTTGTGAAATCGCGAAATTTAATAGCCGCGAAATCGTGTTTCGAACCCACGACCCCACACTTACAAGGCGATTGCTCTATCTATAGTCATTTCTTGGGCTGGTCACTGGTGATCGTTCTTGGGGTATTCAGGGTCAGTTGTTCTATTTTATATATAACCACTCAACCCTACCACATGACCACATTTAAAAGGGATAAGGCAACAGTGAAGTTGCAAATGGAGTATCTCATTTGTTTACAGGGCTTTTCTGGTAACAATACAAGTGCATACTGCTTGATGAATCTATACAATTTATAATAGAATACTTGGAAGATAAGTAAATTCTAGAATCCTTCAGAAATATGGAAATAAACAAAATTCCTCCATTTGCAACTTCATTGTAGCCTGTATCCCTTTTAAAGAAATACAGGCTACAGTATAGGGGTAGGGTAGTGTGGTACCATTTAAATGTGAGCCTCAATGTCCAAAACTGTTTTGCTAAAATTCAATAATACACACTACTATACCCCCATACTGTATCCTGTATTCCTTTAAAAGAAGTACAGGCTACAGGGAAGTTGCAAATGGAGGACGTTTGTTTATTTCCATAGTTCTGAATGTATACTAGATTTTACACATATTCTAAGTGTTCTACTATACATTGTATAGATTCATCGAGCAGTTTGCATCGTATTATTACCAGAAAAGCCCAAAGGTCAAAGATAGAGAATACCCGCTCCATTTGCAACTTAACCGTACCCTGTATCATTTTTAAATGTGGTCACGTGGTAGGGTAGTGTGTAATAATCCTATCAGACAAGCGCAATCACTTTATAGTTATACAAGCTCAAGCTAATTGAGTGGTTCACTAAGTTTATTCATTCAAACTATTATGAATCAAAATTGAAAACTTTGATGATATTTTACTGTTTTCTGGTTGCTATAGTAACTATTAACACTATCAAGCATAAATGAAAACTCCGTGTGAAAAACAATTACATGTATAGACATTTCATACCTCAATATACAAATACAGTATATGGACTATCAAACACTTTCGATTCTTGATTTGCTTTTTATGAAGTTAAAATGAAAATATTGTGATTGATTCAAGTTAATGATTACATATCTAATATACATAGGCTAAATTGATTTCATTGAGCTTAAAGGAAATACATGGATGATTTTCAGAAATTTCACAAAAGAAGACATAAGAGAAGGGGTCAACACGACAAAATAGACAGCATTATTTCAATTGCAACCTACAGAGATCTTCTAAGGTAAGGTGTTCACTGTAGAGTCTCTCCCCAGTACAGAGAGAGGGGTGTTCACTTTGAGGTTCAGTATTCACTTAATAAGAAGCATAAAAGGGTGTAATGTGTTCATTTCACAATAGAGGTCACCACCAGGACACCAAAACTTAAAGTTTTAACTCTACTTCACCCCGGGTGATCAATATCCTGTGTTCCGAATTTCGTTCCAGCAAGTCAGTGACCCGAGTTGTGTTTTACTGAATTCCGACAAATATGGCGGCTAATTTGACAACAGACGATGTTGATGTCGACAATTATTCAAAACTTTCTGACAGCATAAGGTAAGACTGAATATAGAGTGGCGCATTCGGTGCCTAAATATGTTTGCAACATTTTCTTAGTTGTTTATCCATATGCGTTGGGCATTACTGCTAATCGAAGCATAAGTAAACGTGACCTCATTTTCAACGCTCGCTGGAAAGTATGTCACCGAGCAGTTTTTGACCTTCTGTTAGTTAATGAGATAAACTGTTATCATGGTATAATTGCTGGGTAGACGTTCAAAGTATGTACCAACTCGTGCTTCCAGTGAATGTAAACCATTTCTTTGCATAAGCGTCCTAGAAGGCATAATAAGATATATTCCATAGTACCGAATAGGAATCGCCAGTGTTCCGACGCACTTCATGGATAAATGCTCATAGACTATTGAATCATAATGAACAGAAGCAGTGTATACTCACGTGTGATATCTTAATTTATCAAAAATAAGAATTGAATGCATTTGATAATATTGATACTTTGCCAACTTGACTGATTTTTTTCTAGTCTGAGTAATTAATAAATGAGTAGTGGATTTGATTAATTGAGGATTTCCCATGTTAAAATATGTGAAAATTGTCAAGAGGCCACACACATCAGAGGATGAGAGTACAATACAACATGTGTAAATTATGAGACTATGTTGCAACACCTTCAAAGAATGGTCATTTCACAATCCACATTGCACATACTGTAGCAGGCATTTTTATGATATATTTTAACATTGTCACAAAAACCAGGGATTGACAAAAAATATAGCATATCATATAGCAGGTATATGTATTGTAATATATTTCAACGTTGTCACTGTTAGAGTAGGCATTACAATTTACCCATAAAAATATAATAATATTGACAACAGGCTAAAAAGTCTTCACTTAGTAAGCCATAAATGTCACATAAAGGCGACGGTCACACCAGGCTTTCACGATAGCATTGCTAAGGTAATAGTCCCTGGTATGACTTCCGAATATGAAGGATCCGTAGCACACTATAGCGCAGCAACATTTGAAGCAATATTTATGAAGGTGTATATGTCTTGATTCTTTTAAAATACCATTTGCCGAAAAAACTTCCGGCTTTCGGGTCGAAAAATGTATTTCATCACAAGGGGTCAAAAAACGTAAATATTTTGATTCGAACTTTTATAAATTTTATAAGACACAGACCGTTATTCTAAGCATACGAACAAAAAAATTGATTATCATAATGTCAAAATTACTATGATTTTACTGTAGATGTCGGTGTTTAATTAGTGTAATTACACAAGTGTGTTTTTCAGATTTTGTTTGATTTTTCAAATATGAGCTAAGCCGATTCAACAAAATTGTATGGAATATTTAGGTAATTTTTTTTGATTGGGAACGTATTAGTTTTCCGGGTAGTTTTCTTACCAGTTAAAACATTTTATTACCAGAATTTTTCCATATAATCGTAAAGGGTCTAACAACAAATTATTGTTGATGTTTTATAAAACATAATACAATAACAAATAGGTAAGATTCATATCTAATTCGATGTTACAGAGGTATTTGCATGTTCATATATTCCAAGGGCATGTCTAATAATCAATTAGAGTCATATGCAGTCGAACGCCTTACAATTCTTCCTCGACGTTAGTTGTGGCTATCATCAAGTTTTCTGATGGTTGTTTCTTCTTTGACCTTACCGAAGGATGCAATCAAATTTTAGGAAGATAATGATAACGATTTTTCTCAATTATTCATGAATTCGACCAAGTCTTGATGGTTGTTTCATAAGTAACTGAGCTATATCTAACTACGAGAAATAGAATTTTAGCTGTAGTCGCAATTAGTCAAGGGAGAGCAATAGGCCCACCTTTATTGATAATGTTCACCGCTGAATAAAAGTTCATATCTTAAAACGTATTGAGACCCATTTTGCGAAAAACTAGCATAATTTAAGCATTTGTCATTCTAATAGAAAAGTGATTCATTTGTAGCATTTATCTTATTAATACCCGAGAAACAATACAAAATGTCGATACACTGATGACATAATCTTTTGGTATTGAATAGAAAAATAACCTCAAACTTTTAGCTTAGAAACCTAAATCATATACTTAAAATCATATTTTATTATTTGCTATTGCATTGTGTACTCCAAATTGTAAAAGTTTGGAAGTTTACTTTTTGGAAATTTTTTGACCTCTGTTAATGGCAGGCATAATTTAGCCTTAAAGCCGGAAGTATATTAAACGGTTATAATAAAGATTATTAGGGGACATATGTAGGTATGCTTATGTTAGGTCAAATATCGCTGCGCTATAGTGTGCTACCAGCTCCTTTATTAGACGTCCTAGAGATTTCATACCATGGACTATAATGGCAGGATCCATGCATAATTTATTAAATCAGGCCCGCAGATAGGAGGGGGGGGGGGGGCCCTGGTCAGAAATTCTCTCAAAAACTTGCAGTTTTTCACCATTCTGAGCACTTTTCACATGATTTTTTGCCAAAACAACAGATGCCAGCCAGATCATACTTATAGTAGAAGGCTAGGCTCAAATAAACCTCAAATTGAGGTATTATCATTGAGATACTGATACTATACATACGATCGTGCTATCAAAACTGTCAAAAAGCCCCCCCCCCCCTTGGCAAAAACTCCACCCTTGGTAAAACCGCTCACCAATGGTGAATCCTGGATACGGGCCTGTAAATGGTCATCGTGGTTGTACCAGACAGCAATGCAATGTTTTGATTTGCACCCATTTTTTATTTTTAAAAATCTAATTGAGAGCATCCTAATCATGTGAAAAGTTCAATTTTTTGTATAGTTATATTCCTTCTATAAAGTGGGTACACTTTTTGGGACACCCTGTATTTGCAGTTCAATGCCAATGTGGAAATCAAGAAAGGTAGCACCAAATTAGCTTGATGTATTCATGAATGGATTCTCAAAAGTATACAAAATATATATAATCTTATTCTGTAGCTTCGGGACAATGGCGATTCCTATTCGGTAGAATGGAATATATCTTTCAACGACTTCTATGACGCTTATGAAAGGAAATAGCTTGGATTCAAACATAGCACAAGTTGAGACATACTAATAAGGTATACTTTACAGTTATACAATGCTCAGAGTATCCATCATTACTTACAGAAGGCAAAGAACGACTCGCTGATATCGTTTTCTGCGAGCTTTTCGAATTGGGTCATGTTGGTTTCATGCTTCGATTTGCATAAATAGCCTACACATATGGATAATCGTTTATGAACATGTTGAAAACATATTCCAGCACCGAATGCATTACTCTATATTCATTCTTTCCTTATGCTATCTGATTTGTTTGACACATTTTCGTCACCTGGCTCGTCGAGACGCCATATTCATCGGGATTCAGTAAAAACACAACTCGGGTCACTGACTTGCTGGAACGAAATTCGGAACACAGGATATTGATCACCCGGGGTGTACTTGGTGATATAATAAATGGGGCAATCTGATTTAATCCATTCTTCAATAGCTCATGATATCAGATTTGACAAAGTTGTAGCTTTGAACTACATGTTCACTTGACGAGTGTTACAATTTAATAGAAAATTTATAAAGAGATTTAAAACTTAAATGCAGCACTCGTAGAAACATAATATGTGCAAACAATGATAAAGTTGCGAGATTATAAGATTTTTGACATAATTTTATGATTTTTGGAGTGACTACAAACAACATGAATACGAAAAGCTCAATCAAACTTTCTATGGCATTTGTCAGGATTTTAGGAAAATTATATCACTGACAATCATTAACACGATCTTGCGCAGTACTTAACAATCGCAAGACTTACAAGTATGCTTTTAGATTCAACATTATGTATATTCAAGTAAGTACAAAGATGACGTTCAATAATTTAGAGGGAAAATTAGCTGAAATAACAGGTAGGTCTTCAAAATGATTAGTTTATTGCTAGCATTAAACAATAAAAGTACAGATATTAATTTTAATTCTTAAAAATTCTTAAAACACCATTAAATCATGGTTGATTAGACTGTCAACATAGTATTTTCCATAATGTGATTTCATTAAAAATCATTATTTTTGTGCAGTTTTTCATTATAAAATATCTGAAGTACGTTCTATAAGAATGTTTAGTATAGTCCTTTCATTTTGAGTCCTTTCATTTTGATACCTGTGCATACATAATTGAGTTAAACAAAGTACAGATCAGAATTGTATAAGCTTTAACTTCTGATCTACTGGGTAATCTTCATAAATCGTTATCTATCAAACACTTCGCAGGTTGTTCAATCAATATAGAAGGCAACAATGTTGGTGCGAATCATTCTTTTGTTAGATCACAACACTTGCATTATTAAAACCTTGTGTTGAATTGTTTATATTAGATAACAGACTATAAGAAATTTTAAAATGCACAAATATCCAATTTCATTTGACCTAAAAAAGGTGTCTACAATGAAATTATGGCCAAATAGCATTAAAAATAAAAGGATTCTCACTAGTATAAATATGGGAAATAAGGTTAACTGTTAGACGTTTTAGAAAAGAGGCATTGAAATGATGAAATAAAATGTTATGAGGTAGAAATGTTGTGGGATATATAAATTTCTTCCATCATACTTGTATTATAATACAATCATATATAATAACAAGAGTGACAAATTTTAAATTAAATCCTCAATAATATCTATTTGATCAGATATCTTGATTTTTTCATTCTC